TGCCTCATCCACTTGTAGGGCCAGCATTGATGACACTAGAAGGCTTAGCAGGTGGAGCACCTCACCTGAATGCAACAGTAAGTGTCCTGTGTTCAGAAGGCAATATATAGTGGTTAGAAGGTTCTGGAGGGGCCGGCCGAGTGGCGCGATGGTTAAGAACTCGCTTGGGATGCCAGAGGGCCCCGGTTCGGATCCCACATATGAGGGCCAGTGACGCTGCCCTCCGCAGCTGAGATGCTGAACAACAGCTCGACCTGGAGCTGGGCTGCCGTGAGTCGCCGGCGACGGCGTGGGCTGCAGTCCCTGTGGCAGTGGATTGCCATGGGCTACCGTGTGTGGCCAGCAGCCAGCGTGTGTGGCCAGCAGCCAGCGTGAGCGGCCAGCAGCCAGCGTGAGCGGCCAGCAGCCGCAGTGAGCGGCCGTCCAGAGGCCGGCGACTGATCTGCCTCGCCAGAGAAGAGCGCAATGATGGTGCCAACTTGGGCCAGTGAAGCAACGTCCTCCACAACTAGATTGAAGAACAGAAACGACAGCAACTTGTCTGTTCCCCTTCCCCGATTCCCCAGCACTGTTCCCATCCCCCCAATTCCCCAATAAAAATCTTTAAAAAAAAAAAAAAAAAGGAAGGTTCTGGAGTCAGACAACCTGAGTTTAAATCCTGGCTCTGTTTTATACAAAGCATTATCTACTTCAGGCTTCTTACCTCTGTAAGCTTCAGTTTGCCCATCTCTAAAATGGAAATAATATTAGTACCTACCTCAGAATTGTGAGGATTAAATGAAATAATACATGTCAATCACTTAAAACAGGACATGGCACTCCGTATTAGCTTTAATTATTATTCTCTACACTTTTTATGAACTTGTCACCATAGAGGCAGGTCTTTAGCAATGAGGACCATCTTCCTCTCTCCTGGTCATGAGAAAAGGCCAGTGGTGGACAACAGGAGAGATTTTAAAAGCCTCACTGATTAAGGAAGTTAATACTAAAAGGGTCCTCAGAGAGCTGCCTTCCATCCTTTCCTCACTGAGTCGGGATGGTGCATGGTCAGGTCAGTGCACTTTTAGGGCCTGGGGGAGTGGGAGCAACAGCGGGCAAGTTAGGCTGAGCATTTGTCTTGAATAGCTCAGAAAAGGGAAACCAAATAATGCAGATTGCTCCAAGGACTCCTAATTCAGCCTTCGGGGTCTTTTCCTGCTTTCCTTAGGCAGCAGCATTTCCTTTCTACAGCTTGAGAGATACCAGCTCCTCATTAATTGCACAAATAGGGGCTGCTTCTTATTTTTCTTCTGTTGGAATCCCTGTCAGACCCTCAGTATTGCAGTGGCCAGCTCAAAGGGGCCTTCACACAGTTTCCAGAGTCCTCTGTACTTGGCAGGAGTCTTAGCTGCAGATGACAGAAAGCCAACTGCAATCACTTGTGCAAAAGAGGATTTGTTTAAAGGACACTGAGGGTAGCTCCTAGAATTAAGAGATTTTCTAAATAAACAAGAGCTACAGAGGCAAAATCGGGACAGCTCCAAGGACCTCATAGGTTGGAAAGCAGTTCTTCAAAACCAGTGTGCTCTCTGTGCTTCTGTGACATTCTCTCAGACCAGCTTTTGCCCAGAGTCTGAGACTAAGGCACTGGCAGCTTCAGGCCTCATATCCCCTCACTTTCAACATCCAACAGGAAAGTGGCCTCTTTCTTTTGTTCTAATTAAAATTATCCCAGAGGACTGCCTTAGGTCACAAGCTCATCCTTGAGTCCCATCACTGTGGCCAGGGATCAGGCCAATTTAGTCAGATGCCACCTCTCACCAATCACTGTGTCCAAGGAGGTGGGATCTGTAAGAAGGTGGCAATTCCCATTTGACCCTAGGGTTAAAAGAGCATCTCCCAGAAGAAAGCAGTTTTGCATCCAGAAGAAAGGAGGAGAGCTGGGCACAAAGAAAAAAATTGATAACCCTACAGTCTCATTAAAGACAAAAATCTAACCTTTGAGACCTCATACTAATCAACATGACTTCCACAGTCATTTCAGATGAATATTCATAATGCAGCAATCCCCCATTTAACCAATATATGAGAAAATGTTTCCACATTAGTGATTTTTCCAGGTACCTGAACTTTATCCCTTTAAGTGCTAAAACATGTTTCTTTAGATCATTTTCTATAGTCTCTCTAAAACATGGCAGAAACAATTTTTCTTGCTTTTATAAAAAGTGTCTTGAACAAAATTTAACCATTACTTGTCACCAAGTAATGACTATCAAGTATTGGATATCAATGTTGTTCTCCTGAATCATTGAGACATGTAGAGCTATTTGCCCCTATGCCAAGGGCACCAGACTATATGTTTTGATTTCTGATGTTATTTTTAAGTTTTTGGTCTCATGTTCTCAGATATTATTTCCCACTGGTGTCACTGTCCCTATTTCTAGTATCTTTTCCCCCTTAAGCACCTCCCTCTTAGCTTATTTGTTAATTCCAGTCTATCATTGACTAGAAAATCATATGCCTGAAAATGTTACAATAATGTGTAAAATATTTGCAAATTCAGAGGCTAGAATTTACTTCTCTGTGAAAAAATAGTCTGAGTGAAAGCTGGGGAACCAGTCTATGAATAAATTATGAGAGGTCTTTAACACTTATCCAGGTATTTTGAGGCACTTATTATTATTTTTGCTATGTTTACCTACCTTGGTTTACAAATGTATCCTAGATGGTTGAGTTACCAAAAGTTGTGGGGTTTTTTTGTTTTTTTTTAAGATTTTTATTGGGGAATTGGGGGTATGGGAACAGTGCTGGGGAATTGGGGGAAGGGGAACAGACAAGTTGCTGTCGTTTTGTTCTTCAGTCTAGTTGTGGAGGACGTTGCTTCACTGGCCCAAGTTGGCACCATCATTGTGCTCTTCCCGGGCGAGGCAGATCAGTCGCCGGCTTCTGGACGGCCGCTCACTGCGGCTGCTGGCCGCTCACGCTGGCTGCTGGCTACATACGGTAGCCCATGGCAACCCACTGCCACAGGGTCTTCAGCCTACGCCGTCGCCGGCGACTCACAGCAGCCCAGCTCCAGGTTGAGCTGTTGTTCAGCATCTTAGCTGTGGAGGGCAGTGTCACTGGCCCTCATATGTGGGATCCGAACCGGGGCCCTCTGGCATCCCAAGCCAGTTCTTAACCATCGCGCCACTCGGCCGGCCCCAAAAGTTTTATTTTATAAGCACTGAGGTATTTCTTTACTTCTTTTCTTCATATTATCTCTTTACTAGATTACATTCTCTTCTTTTCATTTTATTTCAATTCCCATTTATTTTTTGGCTCTCGGGGAAATGTCACGTTTTCCAATATGAAAAAAAGCAAGTTCAACACAAAATAGAAATTTGAAGTGTAGGGTAGGACAAAACCAGGGGTAGGGAAAAAAATGGCAATAGCAAAAGAGATGAGATGCTGCCAAAAGGCGGTGTCGTGTCCCCTCTCCTTTGGGGAATGACTCAAACATTTAAGTGGCGGTACATATGCGTACCTTTCCATACACATACAGCAAGACTGATATTTTGGGGGGTAAGAAAAAGTGGGGATGGGGAGGGCCTTTCTGCAGGCTTAGGGACCAAGGCTGGTCTCTTCCCCCTTAATCCCCTTTTCCAACCAGAGAAAGGAAGGGATCCAATGTGAGAGGGAGGTAAAGTGGAACAGGGAGGAATTCCACTTGACAGAGTGGAGCAGGCCCCTACAAAGGAAACAGCTCAGGATGGAGCTTGGAGGGAGACTGAAAATAAAGAGGTGTTAACACCTCCCCCAAAGCTGAGAGAGGAGCAGGGAAATACCTGGAAAGTAGGACTTTAATAGTCTGGATCCCACTCCTAAACTGCACTAGAATAGGAAGCCCCACCCCTTCCTTGTAGGTGCTTTTTCCTGCTAATTAGAGTGGTTTCCTTTCCCCTTAGCTACCACATGGGCTTAGGATGGCGGTCATCCATTTGGATTTTCAGCACATGTTTCTAAACGGGGTCTGGATGAGACCTAGCTATTTGTAGAATTATCTTGAAAACAGAGAGGGAAATATTAATTGGACATATGGGAGGAATGGACACCAGAAAGAAATACAAGGTTACCCAGAATGGCAGAAATCTAGATTTCCCAGAGTGGAAAGAGAAAGGAGACAGTCAACAAACAATGAATATTTATTGAGGGCCTATTATGTGCCAGGCAATGTTCCAGAACCCCTCACCCCAAAGGAAAAACGATAGAAGCAGAAAATGCAAATTCTGAGAGAGAATAAAGGGGCAGTTGAAGAAGGCTGAAGGAACTGAGAAGCCTGAGTGACTGGGCTTGGCCTTGGGCCTCCTTTTCAGCTTCCTCAAGGAAATCCTCCTCCTCTTCTGTGGTGGCATCCTGGTGCTGCTGGGAGTTGGAGACAAGGTCGTTCATGTTGCTCTCAGCCTCGGGGAACTCCATCTCCTCCATGTCCTCGCCCGTGTACCAGTGCAGGAAGGCCTTGTGCCTGAACATGGCCATGAACTACTCTGAGATGCTCTTGAACAGCTCCTGAATGGCCATGCTATTGCCGATGAAGGTGACGGTCATCTTCAGGCCACAGGGTGGGAGGTCGCAGACAAACGTCTTCACGTTGTTGGGGATCCATTCCACGAAGTAGCTGCTGTTTTTGTTCTGCACGTTGAGCATCTGCTCGTCTACTTCCTTCATGGACCTCTGCCCATGGAAGACAGCAGCCATGGTGAGGTGCCGGCCATGGAGGGGGTCACAGGTAGCCATCATGTTCTTGGCATCGAATACCTGCTGGGTGAGTTCAGGCACAGTGAGGTCCCGATACTGCTGGCTTCCACAGCTGGTGAGAGGGGCAAAGCCAGTCATGAAGAAGTAGAGGCGTGGGAAGGGCATCATGTTGACTGCAAGCTTGTGGAGGTCAGCACTGAGCTAGCCAGGGAAGCAGAGGCAGGTGGTGACACCGCTCATGGTGGCTGAGACAAGGTGGTTCAGGTCCCCATAGGTTGGTGTGGTCAACAGATGTCGTAGAGGGCCTCATTATCAATGTAGTAGGTTTCATCAGTAATCTCTAACAACTGATGGACAGAGAGGGTGGCATTGCAGGACTCAACCACAGTGTCGGATGCTTTGGGTGAGGGTACCAAACTGAAGGTGTTCATGATGTGGTCAGGATACTCTTCACAGATCGTGCTGATGAGCAAGGTGCCCATTCCAGAGTCTGTGCCCCCACCCAGTGAATGGGTCAGCTGGAAGCCCTGCAGGCAGCCACAGCTCTCAGTCTCCTTCCGCACCACGTCCAGGACCGAGTCAACCAGCTCGGCCCCCTGTGTATGGTGGCCCTTGGCCCAGTTGTTGCCTGCCTCAGACTGACCAAAAGCAAAGTTGTCTGGTCTGAAAATCTGGCCAAAAGGACGTGAGTAAACAGAGTCCATGGTCCCAGGTTCTAAATCCACCAAGATCACACGAGGAACATACTTTCTGCCTGTGTCTTCATTGTAATAAACGGAGATGTGATTCAGCTGCAGGTTGCTGTCACCATGACAGGTATTGTAGGTGCTGGTGGGATCGATGCCGTGTTCAGCATTGATCACCTCCCAGAATTTAGCACCAATCTGGTTGCCACACTGGTTGGCATGGATGTGCACGATTTCCCTCATGGTTCAAATTTGATTTTTTTGCTTGCTTCAAGGTGTGTACAGGGACAAGAAAATATGCAATTTTTTTTCCGCTGCTGGTCTCAGGCTGGAAGGATGGGACATGCCCTGGAGGCTGGAGTAGCAAGGTCCAAATGTGGCGGCCTCTTCTTTTCATTTGTAAACATCCATTTGTCTGTGAGTCCTCACTCAGCTAAGTATTTTTGGCCATTTCCAAGAAGTCATAAATGTGGACCCTCTCCCACCCTTAAATCAGTAAATGAATATGCAGGGGGGAAAATAGCATTAAAATTTATACTGGCTTAGCGACTTCCTGTCACAGAAAGAGAAAATTATATAGAAATGACTTTTTCTGTAGATAAATCATTATCAAACACTGTGTGAGTTCAAAATTAACAGTGGGCAGTGCTGAATTCTGGAAATTGATGAAAACCTTTCCTTGTAGGAAAGAAAGCTTGCAACAACAAAAACTGACATGGAATTGAGAAGATTTCTGAATTCAAACACACAGATCCTGCTTTTACCATAGATAATAAAAATAGAAAAAAAATCATCCCACTTTTCTGCTACTAAATGAGAGTAGATTGAAATGATTATGGCCTCCATGCCCCAGATATGAAGACCTACTCTGGAAACTTCATCTCCAAAAATAGCAAGTCTGGCTCCATTTACACACAGCTAAACAATAGTTTTATTGGAAATAAAACTGATGGTATGACAGAATTAAGTGGGTATTCCAGTTCTTTGGCTGGGTAATAAACCACTCAAAATCTCAGTAGCTTAAAACAGCAACATTTATTTTGCTCACAAATCTGTAATCTGAGCAGGGTTCAGCAGGGGCAGCCCATCACTGCTCCACTCCATTGTCAGCTGAGGTGACTCAAAGGCCGGTTCCATTTGGCATTAGCAAGGACAGTTCAAAGGGTGGAAGGCTGGAACCATCCAAGGCTCACCCAGTTACACATCTGGAGGTTGATGTTAGGAAGACTCAAACAGCTGTGGGCTGGGACCGCTGTTGTTCCTCAGGCATCTCTCTCTGTCTCTATGGGGTCTCTCCATGTGGCCTCTCTAGCCTAGTGGCCTCCAGGTAGCCTGATTTCTTACATGATAACTCTGGGATCCCAAGGCATTTGTCCCAAGACAGCAAGAGCCTGGCAGAAGCTGTATTACCTTCTATAACCTAGCATTAGCAGTCACCCAACATCACTTCCTCTGCATTTTATTCATTAGAAATGAGTCATCATTGGCTGGCTCACGTTAAAGAGGAGGGAATAGACTCCACCTTGCTGGCTGTAGTATCCAAGAATTTGTGGGAACGTTTTAAAACACCACAGTTGATGACTCCGTCTGTTTGATGTGCACAGGACAACAGATATTGCTAGATCAAACTTCTTAATATGGCACACCAGACCTAGTAATTCCATTCCCTTCTAATCTAACAAGTCTTCCGGCATCTCCCCAAATGCATCAAGTTTCATGAGTATGCTGACTAGGGGGTGAATCTGAAACAAAAGAAGAGAAGACAAAGAAGAGGTGACTGGGTAGTTTGAGTCCCATCAGTACAAGATCCCCAGAGCAAAGGCCTAGACGGAAGCTGCAGTGGTGATAACTTCAGAGAGCCCAGCCTGATCAAGAAAGTGAGAGATCAGGTACAAGTGCTCCAGAGTCAACAAGTGGTCCCCTTATAATCATTTACATTCATGATGTAGGGATTCTTAAAAATAAGAGCAATCATAACAAACGCTTTAAGGTTGTTAGTATATCCACATAAATTCTCTCATTCTCTGCTCTGTTATGGCAACACTTTTGATTACTTCTCTATCAAATGGCAACAAAAGCCACTATCAAGTTCATCTTTAAGGAGGAAATTGGATCAATCTTCCAAAGGATGGCTTTCTATGTGGAGGAGGCTTAGGTAGCTGCTTGCAGTGGTGGTTTCCATTGATTGGGGTGAATTACCAGTGTTTTCATGAAGTTCTCTGGTACTCAAGCTAGAAGTAACTGCTCCTTTTTCTTCGCTTTCATAGCACAATGATCACACCTTTATTTCACATTTGTTCTCTTCTGGGTGCCATTTTGGTTAGCTCTTTCCATATCCCTAGCCTACTCTTTATACTCACTACACAATTGTGAACTTTTGAGCATTAAGAATCATTTTGTGGGCCAGCTGAGTGGCTCAGTTGGTTAAGAGCTCGCTCAAGAGTTTGAGCTCTGAGCAACAGCGGTTCGATACCCAGCCCAAGCTGAGCTGCCACTGAGCTGCCAACAGGTAGCAGGATGGCTCAGCTAAAAAAATAAGAGAGAGAAGAATCATTTTGCTCCATTTTTATTCCCTAAAGCATTTACATTGTGCCTTGCACATACATGTTTGTTGAGGAGTCAATGTATAAGTCAGTAAGTGAATGGTCATGAAAATAAATGATATAGAAAGTTCAACACAAAAAAAGTGAAGATGTATGAACATCACACTCATAAACATGAAGGATGTCTCTTCTAACTAGAAAAGCCTAAGAAAAAATAAAATAAAAGCACATAATCTTGTTTGTATGTATGGTATGAAGAAATATTTCAACATCACCATCTATCCATTTTAAAAAGCATGTGCTTGGTGTAACTTAGTGGGCTTACATCAATATTTGCATCATTATCATCAACAGAGAATAGACTTTTAATATTTTATAGCAATTTTATGACCATCTCATTTGAAAATTGCATAGATATTATGAGAGACTCATTGTTTTAATAAGCTAGATTTATGGAAGACATTTGCAGCATCAAATGAAGAGGAGCCTCATCAGACTTTCATTGTAAATGACTTTTCATATTGCCAAGTCAATTATTGTGGTTCTGAGACACTGAACCCAGAAAATCATTTTAGAGTCAAGAGTTCTTGATTTGTAAGATGTGAAGTAAATGAGTGTCTTTACTTTGAATTATTATCAAAACCAAGGCTAGACAACCTATTAACTTTTGGAAGGAAGAGGACTCAAAGGCCAATGAAATGAGACTAATTCTTCACCTAATGAGCAAGGAGTTGATTGTCCATGTAAGAAAACAAATCATGAGTTCCATGACAGGAACAATGCCACTTACTCAGAGCAGAATATGGGATGGTTTGACTTTCTCGAGGTGATGGGGCACTGAGTGCAGGCTGGTACATCCTGGAACAGGGAGGCGGGTGGGCTTCTGTACACTTGGATCAGAGTGATGGCCATTCTAGCTCAGTGCAGGTAGGAACACACTCCTCCTATCCCCCTTTGCTGGAATTAGTTTGCTTTCTGATTTTCAGTGCACAAAAATAATCTCACTCAACTACCATGCAAATAGAAGACTCCTATCTGCTACAAGGGACGAATGCTTTTGCTCAAAGCTAAGCAGCTTTTAGAGAAAGTAAGAGGACAAAGCAGATTGCATTCCTCTCCGTCCTTGTGAGATGGGCCCTGAATAAATAGAAAGAGAAAACTGGGACAGTCATCCTTGATTTGAGTGTTTGTTCCACATGTAATTTGCCCATGCCTATGCCCCATGAAGGATGAAACAAGGTTCATTATGTTAATGAATACAGCTCACACTCTAGACTTTCAAAATTTACTGGAATCCCAGAATCACTTATTTCCCTCCTTGATGGTTTGAAGGTCCTTGGAGACCTCACCAGCATCCCATGAGCTTCCTTCTCCTTGCAACCTCATGCTATCTGTCCTCTCATGGCTTGCACGCCAATGCTTGCCAAGACAAGCCTCACTTGCTCCTCCTGGTCCCCAGGTTCTTGCTTTCCTAACTGTGTATATGCTTTATCTTGTCTTGAAATGTGGAGAAAGGGCCGATCCCTCCCCAGGGTGTCTTTGTTCAGGGACACAAAGCAAAGCCCAGCATGCCTACCCCCAGGGTCTTCTAGAAGCTCCAGAGGGAGAGGTCCACCACCTCAATCAGTCTCTCCATTTTTCCTTAAAAACCTGGATCAAGTCCTCTGGGCAGTTCCACCATGAGACAGTGCAAGGGACACCACTTAGTGCTGACAATGAATGTCCTCGCCCCGTGATGTCCCTTGCCTCCAGCCATATGCTGGCTGTCTCCCCTCAATGTGAACTCCTAATGCATCTATTTCTGTCCAACACATTAAGAGGTGCTTGGTAAACTCCAGATTTTGGGCCCTCGGCCTGAGGGATGGCAGGGTGGTGGGGGAGCAGATTTCAAGAGCCATTAGTATACTGCAGTATACCAAGAAGTATACTGCACCTACTCAGAACAGACCATTGCAAGTGGTCTGCTGACATGAGCTGGGTGGGACTGCACCAGCATGCAGGAGAATAGGGAACCCAAGAAAGAGGACCTCAAGGACTGAGAAAGCCAGAAAGAACCCTATTCAAAATAGTCCATTCAGACATGTGGTTCCAGGGTAGAGCAGCAAAGGCAGTTGTGAGAGAAGCCATTGGCGTGCCTAGGAACATTAGGAAACACCTGGAGAAGAAGGATGGGAGCCTGGGGACAAATAGCACAAGCAGTGGTCAAGTGCAGGTATGACATGATAGGAAAGGCAGTCCCAAATTTAAGACTTCGTTTGCAAAGCCTCTCTCCTTAGGGCTAGGGCAGTGTTGTGGAAAGGGATATGGTGCCTATCTTTGTTCAAGCTCCCCCAGGAGCAGAGCTTGAGACAAGGACTTGGTTGCAGGTAGTTTATTTGGAAGGTGACCCCAGGAACAAAATAAGAGAATGAGGAGAAGGAGACAGGGAAGGAGAAAAAGCTAAAGAAAGGGTGCCTTGGTTAGCTGGTTACTACTGAGGACCCATTCTCACTGGGAACCACAGAGGAAACATATAGACCAAGCCTCAGAATTGTCCCTTTGGGGGACAATAGGTGAAATCATTTATCCTTGTACTCCAATTTCCCACTGGTTAGTGGGGGCCCTGGCCTTTACCTCCTCTTACTTTCTGGATGCCTTGTTAAAGGCTTTGGTAGAGGGGCCAGCCAGGTGGCGCAGTTCGATTCCCACATGGGCCAGTGA